ACGTGGTCAACAAGTTGGTCATGTGCCACACATGTTGTTAGCTTGAAGATCAAGCTAACTATGTGGCCCACACGTAGAAAAACTTATCTTGTAAATCAAGGCATGTGTCCTACAAAGTCAACACATATTGAAGGTCCTATAGAACGTCGCCATGTAGTCCCTAGTTAGATAGTATATATAGAGACAAGAGTGAAGGCTTCTTCACTCTTGTCAACCCCTTTTTTGCTTCTAATCTAGTTTCAAGGGTCTCTAGTTTCAAGGATCTCTAGTTTTCTTGTCTTTTGGCAATAGCCATTCCAGTTTCTATTTCAATATATATACTTGTTTATATATATTTTGTTACCTCTCTTTGAGTGAAGGCTCACTTATTTGAATTGTTTTTTCATCGAGTTCTTGTCCTTGACACTATCATTAAGATGAATGGACAACTCTTTTACTATTGGCAAAGTTTACATATAATAATTTGATATATTCTTCTATTTAATCAACACTATTTTTTTATCAATTATAGTTATTATCTACAACTTAATACTTTTAACTTTTCAAAAGTTGATAATCCTATAGTATAAGATTTAACAAATTTTTTATCAAAGCTACATGTAACAATGAAGACACAATTAAAGTGAGCTCAAAAATGACAAAAGATTAATGTACAATCATATCTCAAGAAACAACCACAATTCAACACGGGTGTCAAAGTATGGTCATTCCATTATAATATTAAGACTACTTATCTTTGAGATAAATTGGAGTATTGTAAGCTTGGATCTTTTTTTATTTGTAAACAAGTCTATCTTGTTGCTTATTGATTACATCTTTCAAAGTCTATTAAGATCATTTTTATATTTCACATATCTCTTCTTGAGCCATGTAAGATAATGAACATCTCAAGAAGAAGACAAATGCCACCTCCTCTTTTAGAAGTGGATAATAATCAAAAATTTGAAGTTGGAAAAAGTCTTAAAATCAAGGCGGCATTGAAAAATATTTGAATATCTTATTCATTGGTATAGATATGATATTAGTGGACACACATAGGAGCAAACAAAAAATCTTGTATATGCAATAAAGAGAATTGAGGCTTTTAATTGATGACATCCATCAAAACGAAGATGAAGAATTACAAATCTTTACTATAAAAGCAACAAGATCTAGGAAAAATAACATTCTATCTTTTATTCTTGTTTGATACTTTTGTACATTTGTGATGCTAGAAAGATAGAGAACTAACAACTAGTAAATTCAACTCAAGAGCTATTACTTGTTGAATTATCAAATGAAATATTGCAATCGTCAAAACTTTCATGATGACATAATCGAGATGAAAATCATCAAGAACGACACATCCTTCCTTGAATAAATGGTAAAATATAATGTGTTTGGTATCACAACCTTGAAAGTATTTTTTGATATTTGATGATTTTATTAGATGTTAGAACGACTCCTAACAGAGTTCTAAATGTTTTATTTGAAAGAAGTTATAAATGTCTCAACAAAAATCAAATAATACGATGGCCTTTTTGTTTTAGTATGAAATACTATTAATGGCTAAGAAGAACTATCAACCATCTTCAAAGAAAAGAAAGATTAGAGAATGTGACAAATACAATCTCTCACATCTTAGATTTTTTCAACATTTGATGAATGCTTTTCATAGAATTCATTTCTAGCAAAGAAGATAATGTTACAGATATACATATTTATTATGATATTTATCTATATGATTAAATAGAAGTAGGTAAAAGTAGATTTATTTTATAATATTTTTTAGATAAGCTTCTTAGAAGCTTTATAAATATTATTTTGACTTTACATATGTTTGTAATTAATTGATAGGATAGAAACTTGGTCAATAAATTAACCACATATTAATAGTTTGTAGAATAAGCTAACTATGTGGCGTACATATAGAAAACTTGCCTTATAAGTTAAGATATGTGTCTTACAAAGTCAACACGTTTTGGAGGTCCTATAGGATATTGCTACACAGCTCCTAATTAAGAATATATATAGAAGCAAGACTAAAGCTTTCTTCACTCTTCTCAATGTCTCTCTAATAAATGCCTTTCTAGTCTTTAGTCTTATTTTAAGACTTTCTAGTCTTCTTATCTTTGGCAATAACTATTCTAATTTAATACCATATCATCTTTAAGTAACTTTCTAGTTCTTTTGAGTGACATAAGAGTATAGTAAGGATTTTTTTCTTCGAGATTCATGTCCTTGATATCAACCTTGTTAGATTTGAATCAACTTAATATTATCTCACATGCTCACAACAATATCATCTAAAATCAAATGACCAATTGGATACAATATTGTTGATATTTTCAATAATCATTCTATTTTTTTAGCTGTATCAAAGATTGATGAGCCTTCTCTTGCCATAATCAACATGGTAGAGGCACCTTGCCATTCATTTTATATATTTATAATATATATGGGCTTATTTTTATTTTAGACACATTGATTTAGTATAGTTTGAAATAGTAATTTTTAAAATTATTAAGAATCTAATGCAAATGAGAGAAAGCATGCCATGGACTTCTTGATTGGCATCATAGTTGCTCATTGCCTCACAAAGAACCAACATTTCTTTCTTATAGGCAAAGCTATTGACCTTAATACTTTAATGTGGCTTTTTATTATTTGTCTAGTTGTTCAATAACATCACAATGGATATTTTCTTATCGTGAGGTCAAAGAGCTATAGAGCCTATTGACATTAAGGTTGAGTAATATAAACTATTTTTTTTGCTTAAAATGATGGATAAAAGAAGAGCTATAAAAATAACATATTTTTACTACTTTAACTACAATCTTAAAAAAATAGATTCCTAAAAGATATCTTAATGGGTGTTTCTAACAAGGTAGTCTATGTCATATTGACATCATCAATTCACATGTAGATTTTAGTAATAAAGTCCTTCATTTAATTACAATTGATGATATTTGAGACATAGAAGTTTTCTTTTTTATAAATTAGCAATTAAAGGCCTTGCTTGTATATAGAGGTACTCCATTTGTGAAGAATGAGACTATAAAATTTTACAACTAGTGGCAAGAATTAGGACCACATCTTATTAGTATTGAAGCATAAATAATATAGACTTTTATTTGCTTACATTGAAATTATTTTATCTTTGGATTCAAAAACTTAAAAGATTATAGAAGAAAATATATTCATATTTAATTAGAAGATCATCATCTAATCTTTTGAAAAACTTACAAAATTATATTAATTTTTTTTTGGCAATTTGACAAATAAGAAAATATATAAGAATTATTGTTAAGTTAATTAAAAGACTAAGTTAGATTGATATCCAATATCAACGCTAGAAGAATTATTTAATGCAATAGGATTTTTTTAAGTATTTGATATTTTGGACTTACAATTTGATTATCACTAATTTTTATTATTAATTAATGACTAAGTAAAGACATTATTTTAGAACATTATTTAAAATAGCAAGGCTCAACTTTGTTAGTGGAAGTTTTTTATGCTCAAACTTAAGAATGTACTAATTGAGTTTCAAAAGATGATAGATAGAATGTTGTTTGGCTTACCATTTGGTAGATGTTATATTATTGATGTTATCATTTTTAGTAACACTGCATAAGAATATATGAGGCATTTACAAGTAGTATTTGAGTAATTATGGCAAAAAAAACTATGCTTATTTCATAATAAGTGCAAATTCTTTGACAAACAATTATCATAGTTGGATCACATAATTATTTTGGAAGATCTTTGCATGCAATAAGCAAAGGTAAATATTCTACAAAAGATTCTAATATTAATTAATGTTTCATGGCTTTGATTTTTTTTTTTTTTTTTTTTTTTTTTTTACTTGGTAAATTATTACTATCAGTTTATTAAGAAGTGTAGCTTGATTGCAAAGTCTTCAATTATTTTTACACTTAAGGATTAGCCATGGACTTGAAGTCGTGAGCAATAATAAGCATTTGACATATTAAAGCAAAAGTTGAATTCAAGTCATATACTTCAACATCCAAATGCTTCTAATCCATTTCAACTATACTCAAATTGAAGCGCGCTAGGATTGAAAGCAATCTTAACACATGAAGATGATATAGGGAAAAAATGATATGTTATTATATTTTCTTCTAGAAGCCATAATAATAAAGCATACAACTATTCATCTTGTGAAGGAGAAACTTTAGCTATATTATAGACTATTATTTATTTTTTATCTTGTTTTTATGAGCAATGATTTATATAAGTGACTAACCATCAACCTTCCATGGAAAACTTATGTATTGCTCAATAATGTAATACATTAAAATATGCTTATATATAGATTAAATCTTATTGATCTTAGTTGCAAACATTCAGAAGATATCATATGTATTTGCAACTTGTGCCTACAACACTTGATGTCTAAATGGAGTCCACAATTCTTTGTCAAAGATGTGTTGCTTAATTGTATTATAAATGTTGTCTTGAGATTGTGAGACAGTCATTGGGTGTGAGGTCAGGATGGCACGAATACACAAATTTCTTTGAATTGTACATTATATTTATGACACTAGAGTTACCACCGAGTCTTTGACATACAAGGGATACGTAGACAATGTGGGTAACATCTTTGTGTTTCTTGTACACGCGACCGATTGAATGATGTCTTGGTTGTCACTTAGTTGTCTATTATATACATGGACACACCAATATTGTACTGCAACGCAATTGTATCTGGCAACGTGACAGCTTTATTGTGTGAACTTGACTGCATGCGACGTGTGCAGCTCATACGTGGAGGTACACAGACACCATAGATTGATTTGGTGAATGTATAATCTTATTATTCTTCTTTTTATGGACTTACGCCGATTAGAGTTAATTAAAGGTGGTGAGATGAACAAGTCTGCAAGCCATCGTGCTGTTATGATCTAAAATTTTAAGGTGCACAATGAGGTGCACAGAATGCAACACAGAAACCACACTGGACAAACGTAGGAGAAATGTACATGGTTTGGCCTCTGTGCTGTGCATAGTGTAAACCACTCTTTGTATATAATTCACTCTTCAATGGATTACAAGCAAACATGCTTATGCCGCGACGCTGCCAGCGCCAAGCAGCTCAGTCCCTGAGACGTCAGAAACCGAAACTTTCTAGACCACATCACAGTACAAACAAAAAGCATGGTTGAAACATGATTCCCGATTCCCGAATTCCGCACACGAGAAAATGTAGCAGGAGAGGAGAAGGAAGGACAGAAGCGAAGATTAAGGCTACTCTCAGATAGAATGAGGGGGTACAATACGTACTCGTTTACAAGCTAATGCTGCTTTCTAAACTTAAAACACACTACACAGACCATCCGCGTCCTGTAATTTGGACAGTTTTGTAATAATTCTATATCATTTCCCTTAGATTCTAATGCTCCGCAGGTATACAACGAAAGAATGAACATGAAGAAATCCACGATCACATGAAATTTTGTGCAAGAGTCACAAAATGCACGAAATTTTTTTCTTTTCATTTTTCTTTTAGTAATATCATCGTCTGCCCCCATTAAACCTTGTAGTTTCGTCCGGAGCATAAAAAAATGGCACAAGAAGTATTTACAAGGGGATGAACACCCACTCAAGTACCGACAAAGAGGAGACTGACAATTCACTGTGTTGCCCACCTCAACTCTTTCATCGCCCATCTCAGCTCGAAGTCCCTGCCAAGGAGCAAGCTCAGCCCTGAGACTTGCAGGGACTCCAATCTGGCGTCGTAACTCAGCTGCTCCGCTGACACAATCCGCTCGCCATTCACAATCACGTCGCTCACCGGGCCAGAAACCCCCAAAAATCTGATGCTCTGCAGGACCAATCCCTGCTCAAGGGCGTAGTTGCCAGCGATGACACGGCTCACCAGGCTTCCTGAGTGCAAGGACCTCTCGGCGAAGAACTGCACGAATGTGGAAGACCCATCCTGGATGCCCATCTCAATATCGACGCCACTGTCCACAAACAGCTTGCCTGAGGCCGAGGCGGAGGCATCTGCGCTGAAAACCACAACTAAAGTGAATGGGGTCTTCTTCACTTCGGCCGATGTTAAGCGAGCCTCTTGCATCGGCAGAATCTGGCCTTCGCTGACGTGAACGTTGATCGAATCTGCCGGTGCGGGTAACATGCGTCTCTCGCCAGTGCTGACAATTTTTGAGAAATCGAATAGATTGTACCAAGTGCCCTTGGGAAAGTACGCGTTCACGGAGGTGAGCCCCTCAGCCACAATTGGGGAAATCAATACGCTTCTCCCCAGCAGAAACTGGTCGTTGATTGCCAATGTGTTGAGATCTTTGGGGAACGAAAAGAAAAGGGCGCGGGCAATGGGTGCGCCGCTCTTGGTGGCCTCGAACATTAGGGTGTAGAGATGCGGTAGAAGGCGGTAACGAAGCCCAAGGGCTTTTCTCGAGGCTTCCGCGACAGACTCCCAGATGTATGGTTCGTGAGAATTCGTCCCAAGGGCGGCATGGTTTCGAGAGAAAGGGTAAAATGCACCCAGTTGCATCCACCTTCTGCATAGCTCTTCCGTCGTGTTGCCTGCGAAGCCACAGATGTCCGCGCCCACCATCGGGACGCCGAACATGCCCGAGTTGATGACGCTCACGATGGAGTATTTCAAATCTTCCCAAGTGGCTTTGTTGTCACCCGTCCAGTGCGCGGTGTGCGCACCCGAGCCCACAAACGTCGATCTGGAGAGGATGAATGGCCGCTTCCCTGTAACATCCCTCAGCGTTTTTTGTGTTGCAATGGATTCACACAACCCGTACAGGTTGTGCGCGTCGTACTCCAATACTCCATTGTAATGTTTGACGGTCATGGCGATAGTTTTGACGCCAAGGTTGTCGTACGTCCCAACGTGATTGATTTTGTAAGGAGGGTCGTCAAAGCGCGATGTGCCGTTCACACAGTGCAATAGGCATCGATCGTTATCACTGTCGTTTTTGCCCATCCCAAGGGTCAATGTATCAAACGAGCAAGCAGATCCGGTGCAGAAATTCGAAGCTTCGTTCATATCGATCCAGAGCCCGTCGAACGGCACCTTGTCGAAGAAATCAGCTATCTCTTGAGTCCACCACGAAGATGCTTTCGGATGAAGAAAGTCCGGGAAGTAGACTGGACCAGGCCATACCTGCGCCAGATAGTTATTCCCAAACTCGTTCTTCAGGAAGATGTCGTCCTTCAAGCCGCGCTCCAGCGTGCTGTAATTCTTGTAGCCAACACTAATTCCTGCGGTTCACAACCCATTCATGCTTCATGCAAATCAGAGCGTAAATCCAATCGACACTCAGTCTTTCAAGAAAGACACTCGTTTCGATAGATACATCTGTCATTTAACTTCCAGTTCGTAACAAGACAGAAGGAAAACGGTAATTGAAAGGGAGCGTGGAGACTCCATGAAAAAAATTCTCACCAGGATCAAGAATTACGATATATTGTTGTCCATTAGCGTGAAGCTCCTTGACAAACTCCCGGACTGTGTTCTCGTCGTACCGGACGGGGTCGAAGGTGAAGTCCTTGTATGCATCCATGTAGTCGATGTCATTCCAGATGGTGTCGAGAGGGATGTTTGCCTTCTTGTAGTTCGCCACCACGTCCTTGATTTCGTCAATGGTTTCGTAACCCCACCTGCACTGATGAAAGCCGAAAGACCAGTAAGGCATGGGTGTGGGTCGGCCGATGAGGTTGGTGTACTGATCAATCACGGCGAGAGGCGCGGGGCCAGCGAAGAAGTAGAAATCCAGCACGCCGCCGATCACGTGGTAAGTCAACATATCTTCCCCAACCCAAATATCCATGCCGTTGCTGTTTAGCATCAACACTCCATGCGTTGCGCCTCCTTCTCTGATGTCCATGTAGAAAGGGTACGCGCCGTAGAGGTCGACGTCCACTTTATATGCAGCTATGTCCGTCGCCCACAGAGTGTAGAGCCTGCCTCGAGTAAGGCGAAGGCCATCGGGGCGGGTGCTCTCACCAATTCCAAACAAGGAGTTGTTCCTCGGCAGCTGAGTGGAAATCTCCAAGTATTGGTCCTTGAAAACCATGGAGTTGAAGGCTGGCTCGCCGCTGTCTTGTCGTATAGGCGGAGTCGAATTGAACAAACACTCCCCGGTGGAGGTTCTTGTGATTGCGAAACCAAATGGCTCAACTGTGTACGAAAGCTGTAATTGGCGGTCATTGCGAGCTGGGTCGAGCCCTTCGCTATGTTCCATATCCCTTTCCTTCACATGTGTGACGAGGGAGGAAGAGTCAGGACGCGGAATGATATCCTGAGGGACCTCCCATCTCGCATGTATGGAGTCCGTGATATGCACATGCAGTCGGTCATCGCTATCGTACCTGAAACAACCATTAGGAGTTGCGTCAGTGTGAAAGGCTGCGAAGAGACTGCGGAGTTTGTTTTGAAGAAGACACAATTTGGATATTCGTTGCATACCTGGCGATCATCCGAAGTGGGCTAATGTCGGGGCCATAAATCTCTGTTCCAGTGATGAGTTCCAAATTGGCCACAAAGCCCGACCCATCGTCAAATTCGAAGACGGACGTCATCCGATGACCCGCGCCGAAGCTCCTCAAAGCCTTCGGTGAAAGTGCAGCCGTCAAGTTCAAAAAGCACAGCAGTGCCATGGCAAATGCAATGATCGTGGCTGCCATCCTGTGATCCGAAAGGGCACACTGATACTTGCTCCTAGTAATCGTCACTGTACAAGAGAAAGAGAAAAAATCCACCGCTCCGACGCTGAAACCAACCGTAGCGAGTAGCGACAAAGGCTACACCACAATTTGAGTCTACTTGAGAGAATGTGAACGTGCTCTAAACGTGTCTTGACAAGCTTCTGGACGGCTCTCCCTCAGTGCCTCTCACAATAGATTTGCGTCCAAAAAATCAGGCATACGGCTCAGAGGACCTATACTTCTTGTCGTTGACAAGGACTAGTCGTCACCTAGCTCGAAAGCCGAAAATAATTTCATGAATTTTTAAGCGAGCCCCCCTTAGAAAAGTTCAAGATTTCTATGTCTGCCTGCGTGACTACCGACGTAGAGGAAGAACCGGCCACTTCCACAACTTCGTATCTTCTGTTGAAGGACCCCATTAATCGCGAAACACACCTACAAATCAGGAACCAAGGACCAAATGAGAGGATGCCATCTGCCAGGATAGCATCTCCACTTACCGTGAAGGTCTGAACGTCATGGTAACGTGCGGCTTCCACCCCATCAGCGGGCATCAATCGAGCATCCTCTTCTTTACTCGATGTCGCGGTCACCAAATTGTGAAGCTACTCCACGAAATCGACTGCATATTGGATTGTATCTGCATGCCAAGCACCCAAGTTGCGTCTGAATCGCTTGACTCTGGAGAGCCGTGAACTCAAATAGTGTCCGTTCAAACACCTGCTAATGCAACAAGGACGACGTGACGACGCCGATTATCCACCGCATCACACAGACGAACGGGGCCTTGTGGCTCCACCCGCTTGCTGCATCCCTGAAATCAAATACTCAAATCGCGGAGATTTGGACAGCACCACTCGGTCCAGTGCAACGTCATTTACCATCCCCTCGTCGTAGTCCTGAAACATCATGTCCCTTGAGATTGGATTGTGAGGCTTAGACTTAAAACGCTGTCAAAAAAAAAAAAAAAAAAAAAAAAAACAACAACAACAACAGTCAGGAAAACTCAAAATTCATCTCGAAACAAGCAGTATTCGATGGTGAGAAGGTCTCGATTGAGAAACTGTAGTAGTAGGAACTTGTAACCCCATTCTGAACCGATCGTGGCAGTCGCGCATAGAGTGTGGACCACCTCTGGCAGTACAACTCGCTGTGCGCATTTCCTCTGCATCCTCAAAAGTACGCCGACCCCACCAAAATCCTGGTTAGTCGGGGCGAATGCGCGTCGTGGGTTCTGTTCCGGTCAGCTCCTAATCGTTCTTTTTAACCATTCGATGGTGCCTATTGGCGTGAAATCCAGACTGCGAGATCAGTGTCCTCTACGGCCCGACGGCGACGAAACGAAGGAGGTGAAACAAAAGACGAACCTCTTAAATCGTAAAAAGTAATACCCCCACCCCTCCGCATTGGGAACACTACGTTCCCATCCCTGATACGTTCCCATGCATGTCCAGTACTGTTCACTGTGTGTGCTGGGTCAAAACATGAGAACGTGGTTCCCCACTTCTACAAGAATGACTGGTCCAGAGGCTCATGCAGCCGGGGGGGAAAAAGAGCAAGTGGAAAGTGAATGGTAAAAGTAAAAGGTAACAATGATTCGGAAGGCACAACGACTTGCGGTGGTTCTTGTTTGTTGACAGAAACGCTATAAGTGTGTGCACTGATGGATGAATGAATAATTTATGCGTTCTCGTCCACAATTATTCATCCATTTACGGTCTCCATCCTCACGGGAATTGATCTGAGTGGCCTGATTGGCTCATGTGATGTATAAATAGTGCAGCCAAGCCAATCCACACGACGAGAGTAAATCTAGCACCCAACATCTGGTCGAACTAATGTGCTATGTACTGTGGGTTGGGATGTCAACACTCTAGAATAATAATATTGAAGGAATTAGGCAAGCTATGTCCATTGAAGGAGGGGGGGCTGTTGGGAGAGTTTATGACATTGAGCCACAGCCCAAACCCTAATCTTGAATCTAAATTAATTTCGCCTTAATGCAGCAGACTCTCCCAGACAATTTATTTAATGGTGGATAATAATAATAAATAGAAACATAGCCTGAAGCGAAATTCACTGGGGTAGTTAGCCTGACAGTGAGAACGGGGACTTTGTATCACACGTGGACTCACAGGTGGCGGATGCTGCTATTGCCAGCATGGAGAAATGCTTTTTGGCGGGCGGGCGGAGTTGCCCTAAAATTGATGCTTTTGATTGCATGCTTTACAGAAGGTTGCAGAGCTTCTCTTTTTACACGAGGCAAAGCCAATATGATATGGGTAAATGGCCATAACTTATACTTTAGTATGATTATTATTATTATTAGTTTTCTTTATGTTGTAATCATAAAAAATATATATTATATTTAAGTGGGACTTTGAGAACTATCACATAGACCTTTCAAGGCATTTTGTAATAAAGGCAAGGTGTGTGCATTTCTTTCAATATGATTCTTAGTGTTCTATATAGAGATATGGAAGACCTTCGGAATATTCCAGCATTGCTTCCATGGTGTTTAATATTATTATAGAGAATCCACCACTTCATGGGATTTTGGGCCATGGTAACATCTAAACCATATTTTTATACCTTTAGGTGGGATGATTCTTTATACATTTATTTTTTTGAAATCTTTTATCTCCCTTTCACCGGACTCAAATCATGAAGTATGGTGTTACTAATTTTATGAATGTTCAATTAATTACGTGTTTGATGAATGGAATGGATCACATCAAAATACATAATTTAAAACTTAACAATGCATTTAAATTGAAAAAATATTTAAATTTTATAGTATTAATATATAGTACATATTTAGTATTTGTATACACAATAAGTATATATTCACCTAATCAGGGTTAGCATAATTACTATGGTGTTTAAGTGCTACCATGATTGTATATATATCTTCGTTGCTTTGTCATATAAATTTATCTTTTATCCTTCTACCAAATTGTGAAATACTAACATAGTATCAAAGTAGTTATAATCTAAGGATAAGTTTTAATTATTTATCTTTTGTTAAACTTAGTTCTAGAAGTAGTTTCAAGGATTATATTATAGATTCAAAAGCAAACCATTATTATAATGGACTCCTTAGCAATTTTTCACAATGTTGTGTTGTGACACGGATAATAGGTGGAAGAGTAAAGAAACATTATATTATAGAAGATCTTATTTCAAAATATTGTAACAAATTATCTTAGAAATATAGAAAATAGTCAAAAGATAGTAAAACTAGAAGTGCAAATGTTGTCTTTTGCAAAGTAAGCTTCTATTTACTTTGTAAGGCCATAAATATTAGTAAAATATTTTATGGTTTAGATTAAAGGCTAAATCATTAAAATAATATAGATCCAATATTATAGTGAAGATTTCAATGAGATGACTTATTAGTAGGATTATTTTACAATTTTGTGAATCCACATTGGATGAATGTTGTACTACCATTGTCTCATAAATTGAATGGTCTAGATATAGATAAATGAAGGGCTAAGATACTTCCAACAAAGACTTGAGCTTATAAGAGGGTGTTAGTATAAAGTATATATTTAATATTTATATACACACCAAGTATATATTCACCTAATTAGAATTAGCATAATTATTATGATGATTGAGTGTCACAATAATTGTATATATAAGTTTGTAGCTTTGCCATATAAATTTAACTTTTATCCTTTTATTAAATTACAAGATTCTAACATATAAAAAATTAATATAGAATCAAATTCCACTACATTATAGTATTTGTATCTGAAATTTTCATAAGATTCTAAGGTAATTTATTTTATAATTTCTTTTTTCTTTGGTTAATTGATTCATGTATATATCTATATATATATATATATCAAATTATATGACACAAATTTTAAGTACATATATTTTAAGCTGATGGTTACAAATAGGTTGTAATAAACTTGAATATCATGTAAGATTCAAGTAGTACAATAAAACTAAAGTATCATATACTTTATAAAAAACTTGATTAAAGATCAAGGTATAAAGTTGGTAATTGTGCATCTTAATTCATTCCACACCAAAGTTGTCTTATATAATACCTAGGATTTTCAACATGAAAATTTATCATTAAAAATATCTAAAAATAGATATATGTGTAATTTCATTTAAAGAAAATGCAATTTTGTGCAAATTTTCAACTTTCACATTTTTTTCAATAAAAAAAATATCACTTTGAAGATGAACCAAAATACAATCAACAGATTAATTTTAGTAAACATGGTGCATTTAACAGTTAAACCTTTGTTGAATATTTATGTAATTGTAATCTTGTGTGTATATGGTTATACATACTTATATATATATATATATATATGTAAGTGCTTTAGGCCATACTAGCTACTTCAAAATCACTTCAGATTTATTAGAATTTCAATTTCATTTATTCAATGTTTTCTAATATGGTTTATTATTTTTCTATGATAAATCAGGGATAAATTTCAATATATATATATATATATATATATATGGATCTTCACATTCATACAAACAAACAACTAAAGAAATATCTTATTGTGTTGATAAATGTCATACACATCATACTCATATGACCTAGAATCTTCACTAAAACTGATTAAAAGTAACCTCTATTCTTGTTCAAGTAAATAATCAATGTTACTGAGAGGAGTCTTTAAATTACTACTATCATTTTTAATTCAACTAAAACATAAATATTTTGAATACTTTCAAAATTCAAATAAATAAATGCAATCCATAGAATGAAGTTGAATTTTCAAAGCAATAAAACCAGAAACATTTCTTAATCTAATACTATTGTTCAACTCCAATAAAAAAGCTACATTACTCATAATTTCATAACTTTGAATTTTTTGAGAAACTCATGTCTATTTGTAAGCATTCTTTGTAGGTTGGAAACTGACAGTACAACTGGGAAAAAACTGCTCTTGGTAATATATACATACAGACATTTTATGCATTGTTGATCAAGAAAGCTAGTTTGAAAACCCAAATTCTGAATCCCCAAAGATCCTCACCATTATATTACCAAGTAAAGGCTGAACGTGTTGGGTGCTTTGCCATATTAATTTGAAGAGGGTTCAAATGCAGCCTTCACCATGAGAACTGATATCAAGCATTCTCAGTTTTATCTTTTCCCCATCCAGGAGATTACTAAGTAAACCCACGCCACAGACATGAAGAGAAGTGCAACACAAAAATATCGTAGCAAACTAATTCCGATGTTCTTCTGTAGAGAGATATATATATTCGGTGAAGACAGACTAGCAAACCATTGTCATGGTTGAAGCAATGCCACAGTGTCTTATCTTCTACATACTATACTGCGACACCTGACATTCTCAAACTTCATGAAATCCTATCCATCTGTATATCACAACAGATGCCACCCTCAAAAGCTGACTTACCTGCAGTCAAGCACAAAACAAAGGTGCCATGGTCTGACAAGTGAATTACTGGCTGCTGCTGTGGTTGGAAAACGAGAGATTCCATTAACAAAGAAATATTTGATTGCAGTTGTCGAATTCTCAACAGTGAATATGCTTTCGGCAATGTGAAGCTAGGAGAAATGACATTCCCTGTCTTGTAAAATCCGATAAATCACCACCTGTCAGACTAGGGACACCAAATTAGCTTATTCCATACACACTACTTGGTATCATTCAAACAACGTAGTTTAAACTTCCTGTGACAAAGGCTTACTAGAAGACTCCATCACAAAAATGAAATATTTCGCTCTCTGAAACTATCAATCACAGCCGCTTTGCCAGATACCACACTGTCGGCCGTTGTAACAAAATGTTGGACATCACTTGACCCAACACCCGAAGTTTGCACGTTTTTCATCGTGGAACTGCACAGGTTATGCTCAAGTCAGATCGTGCTTCAGCATCGAGAAGTCGGACATGACCCTTCCAAGTGACATAACTTCTTCTTGTGTGACACACCCTTTCCAGACTTGTGATTGGAAACAAACTATCCAGAAAAAGGTATTAGGTCAAGGCTCCGTGGGACTGTTACGTAATCCAAGGTTAGGATCGCAGGGGCGCCATGTGGGCTACTATCACCTCAAATCATTCCACCCACTGATCACCGCAAATCTCTAGTGAACCAGCATCGCGTTGCATCACCTTCAAGTGCCCAGGTCCGACGATTAGAGAAAAGCGATTTTCTGTGAACACGAAATCTGTGTATCTTCACATCAAGTGCCTTTCGCTCTCTCTCGCTTCACACGAGCTACACCACATTCTAC